TCATCAGCTTTTCCTGCACTTTCATAAATCTATCTCTAGTTTAACAATAATTCCCCTCTTCAACTCTAAGCTAGTTTGAGTGAGTTTTCTATCCCTTGTGACCCAACAAAACAAAACCACCACCACCACCGTGAATGGAACTGGCTTAAAAAGTTAATTATAATCAATTACCCCTTTTCTGGCCTTTAAAACTTTTTAAGTTGCTTCAATTAAATACTGAACATAAAAAGAGATATTTATGACATGTGCGAGACAAAACAAATATATATGTACCTATCACTCAATATAAAAAGTTAAACATTACCAGTTATCTGAAGTTACCTATGTGTCTCCTCCCAGTATCAATTACTTTTTCACTAAATATTTCTAGAAGGTAAACACGCAATAAGGGATGGGGAGAATTTTTTTTTAATCTCTAACAACCAAAATATGTCTGGCTTACACAGTGGTGCAGGGTTTGTTCCGCTTCACATCTTTCATGGACATGATTCTATCATTTGACAAGCCATATTATAAACCACAAAGTAGAAAGTTATCATTCATAAACCACCTAAATGGGGGCAAAATATTTTTTAAAAAAGAGGCAGCTCACTTGGCCAAGTAGCTCTCCTCAAAATATTTTCACTTGAGAATATGAACAGTGTTACTAAAGATCATATGTTTTCTTTGGACAACAAGTCAATTAAAAAGGGGAAGTAAAATGGGAAAAAAAAAAAAAAAAGAAAAAAAATTGATTCAATGACAATATTGTAGCCTCCAACTAATAAAAATAAATGGGAAAAAAAAAAAGAAAAGGGGGAAGTAGGCTCTCTTCTTCACTTTTATGAAATATAACAAGTATGCCTAAGGGATCAGTCATTTGTGAGCAAGAAGGGGGCTCATTCTCTGACTGTTGCAATGTTCTAATTCTGGCTTCTGATAAGTAAGTTTCCTTTTATTTCTTTGAAAGCAGAGCAACATAAACTCACTGTGGTGCTAAGGCTAAATTACATGGTATGTACACGTGACCTGACTGAAAACTATTTTTGAATAGGTACATTTCTTACCAGCTCTGCCTCAAAATTTTCTTGTGAGACAGAAATGTGAAATACACATTTAACCCATACAAGTAATTCATAGCAGTGATGTCCTACAAAGTTAACTGCAATATTACATCCATTCAGCAAATTTTCACATTTAAAAATATTAGAATCATATCACTAAGTCTCAAACACTGATGGCAGCATACAGCACTTTTCTAAATGCCTATTTAATTGAATGTAAATACCAACTTTAAAAATTCACCAGTAACAAAATATAAATTCAGTTGTCTACAATTTCAATTCAGTTTCAATTCAAATTCAGTTATAAATCTCTATGGATGTCCACAATTTCAATTTCCTTTACCATATAAATGCTCACCAATGCTATAAGTCGAAACCCCAAAAAGTCTGGGTTCATACATGTATTTCCTTCTACTAACCTTTATTACAGCATGAATTAGTAGTAGAATGGCAAAAAAAGGAGAGATAATAAAAGGGAGGAGAATGCAAAGTCTCTAGATGATTTCCCCCAAATTCTATCTATATTTATCTTTATCTAGGAGCTTCCCTGGTGGTTCAGTGGTAAAGAATCCACCCATAACGCAGGAGATGTGGGTTTGATCCCTGGGTCTGGAAGATCCCCTGGAGAAGGAAATGGTAACCCACTCCAGTATTTTTGCCCGGGAAATCCCATGGACAGAAGAGCCTGGCTGGCTACAGTCTACGGGGTCACAAAAGTTAGACTAAACAACAACAAATCTTTATCTATTTAGCTATAGTAAAATGTAGCTTTTTAAAACACAGCTAGTAAAAATTCAAATCAACACCCTCCAAAACCCCTGTATACCCTTCCATCCTTACCGCCTACACTCCTCCCATGCCAACCCTTTACTTCAGGGCAAATCTATTTGCTCAGTCTATTTCTGAGTCTTTGCACATACTATTCCCTCTGCCTGGATATGCTTCTCTCTACTCTCTGCCTTAAGAGTTCCTATTTATCCTTCAAAGTCCATCTCAAATGTTACCTCAGAGAGGACTTCCCAGATATGTCTCTCCCTCCTCCCAAAACTGGCTATTCTTTCTGTAACAACATTCCATTACCACTGTTTACTTGTGTATCTCCACTACTTGAACTGCTTAAGAGTTTTGTCTATTTCTCATTTATATCCTCAGGCTAGCAAAGTACCTGTGTACACATAAGACAATCAGATACCTAATCATAAATAAGTCAATAAACAAGCCTCCTTCTGAACACTGAAAAGCAAAAAGCTTAATAAAAAGTAGCCTTGACTAAATGCAATGCAGTGTCCTGAATTGGATCCTGCAGCAGAAAAAGAACATTCATGGATAAACTGCTGAACTTCAAATAAAGTATGAAGTTAAGTTAACATTAATGCATCAACATTAATCTCTTAGTTCTGACAAATAAACCACAGCTATGTAACACATCAACACTAAGGAAGATCAAGTGAATACTATACAGGAACTCCATGCATTATTTCTGCAGCTTTCCTACAAACCTAAAATTATTCCAAAACAAAAAGCTTACTATATAAACTTTTAAATAGTCTAGAAAAAGTTGAAAACTACAAAATCAATAAGAACATGAATGTGGGCTTTAATTGCAACTATAATAACAAAAATAAAAGAATAAGAAACATACTTGTCGTAGACATAGACAAAGAAAGGAAATTATTTTCAATAATCTAAAATGAGCCTAAACATGTGAGGATTTATTAATGCTGCAAAAAGGTTAAAAAAAAAAAAAGGACCTACATCATTAAACTGAAGTAGTTCAACTTTTATTTTCAGAAATACATACATAACTCAATATTAAAATAACTTGCACAGAAAGTTTAAGACAGTGCCATCATGTCACATACATCAGAACTACAATATCTACATAAATCATTGTACTATTTATATCATTACTTCAAACCGAGTCCTATTCTGAAGTTAATGATTCCCATGTTCTAACTGCAGTAAATAGAGGAGGAAATGTTCTATTAAAGGTATCTCACTCTAAAACAATCTTTCTGTAATTTACAGTAATTCGTAAAACATAACTTCAAAGTCCGGGGCAAAATTCATTTCCTCATTAGTTTAAAAGCAGTGACTAAAGAGGAGCTTTGCTGCTTCTCAACTGATTTTAAAATATTTTTAACCTAATGATTCTAAAATTATATTGGTAAGTTCCAAGGTCATATCTTAGTATAAAATACTATCCATTAAATAAAACCTATAAAAACTAGGGATTTCAATACATGACTAAAACAGAAATTCAAATACTATGTTTAAAGATACCATGTTTGTAAAGTTCTCAGAATTCAATGGAATACTATTCTACTTTTAAAATCCAACTTGAAAGGATGAAGGAAATTTTGAGTATTTAACCAAGGGTAGACAGGTTGCATGATCAATCATTACAGGAAGATAATTTACAATATGACAAGAATCAAGTTATCTTGCTCGTTTTAAAGAGGTCTGATTTAAATGGCCCCTATTCTACAAGCGAAGTAAGTGCTAACAGCAGGCCACGTGAATAAAAGCAGGAAATACAAAAACAATTTAAATATACAAATAGTATATGTTTCAATCCTGGTGAGAAACGCCTGCCATGCCAGCTATAGATTTGTACAAGCAGCTAGAAAAAATTAGAACACTGTCGACTTTTAAGCAATGAAAATTTTTTGAGATGTAAAATACTAACAACACTGAAAAAACTTAAGACTTTTATATGATTATTAAAACACTTACCTATTTGAGATACAGACATGTGACTATAGCAAAAAAAACAGTAATGGAACAATGTATCTCAGCTAATCCTTAGAAGTCTTAAACTTTAAGTATCTTCTAAGTTTAACTCAGAAATCAAAGGAAACTCATGTCTAAAGACTGTATCTGGGAATTCCCTGGCAGTCCGGTGGTCAGGACTCTGCGCTTTCAGTGCCATGGGCCCTGGTTCAATCCCTGGTTGGAAACTAAGATCCCATAAGCTGTGCAGCACATCCAAAAAGAAAACAAAAGACTATATCCTCCTGAAAACTGTTTCAAAGATCACCTAGGCCATTATTCAGGTACAAATCAAACAAATCTGATCTTTCTGGTATCCTTTCTTCCCTTGGTTCTTTTTTTTTTTCCATTGGGTCCATTTGTGGCATTTCCACAAATGGAGTCATTTTATTCACTCAGGTTGTGACTAAATGCTTCAGGACACTATGATATCAATTTCAATGTACTGAAAAATAAATAGTAAACAGTATGTATTTCAGTTTTTAAATGAAGACATTAGTTAATTTTATTTACTAACAGAAAAAAAGAAGCCCCTAACCTAAAGTATAGCCTGATCATTTACTTTTTATATGAAGAAACACAAATTGGATTTTTTTTAATATAAAAAGGACAAGATCCACAGAAAGATAAACTCCTCTACCTGTGGGCACTAGAGAAATTTCCCCAGTTACTGGTAGATTTTGGTAGATCTGCATCACCAGTGCAAGCCTGACATCACAACTCGCCTTCAGCTACTTCTCAGTATCTCAGAAGCAACCCAATCCCAAAGTAAATCTGCTCCCCGGATGTGGCACTTTTCCCCCTAGAACATGAATCCCTAAAAGCCACCATCTGGAACAACACAAATATGTCACAGTCTGTGGTTTTCTGACTGCTCTACAGTGTAGAAAGTGTGAGCAAGGGTGCTGTGGTCCCAGCCACCTCCAACTCCACGGCCCCTGACCTACACACTGTCTCTGTGGCCAGCTCCTGAGAGGTATCTGTGGGTTTAGTAGGTTTGCAGAGGCATTCATTTTAAAACAGGTTCTAAGAGATGTACATGTTTTAACATGGGCTCCATAATGTGTGAAGATACACTTAGAATCACATCTCAGGTATCATTAAAAAGAGTTCTGTTCTAAAAAGTGTTAAAAGAGGAAGCCAGGCTTCCATCACAGCTGTTCCTGTGGCCATGTTTTTGTTATTCCCATAGTTAAAAGTCTGAATCTGCAGCAAGACCAGCCACATATATATCTGTGCTCATGTGTGTACACAAAGAAGTACCTTTGGGCTGACTTTAAAGAAAAAAAAAGACATTTTGTTTCATTTCCCGAAACACCTGCCTGCTCCAGCCCTGCTAGAGTATTCATTTCCCTGAAGATAGGGCAGGGAAAGCCCAGAAGTTTAGAACCAATCCAGGCAGGTCTCCTGAGTGCTGTCATCATACAGGTTCAGGCAGCTTGGCTCACGAGCATGACAGCAAACATCACACTCTGATCTCAATGTGAGTCGTTCCCTAAAGAAAAGAGAGCCCCGGGCTGCCACTGTACTCCTCATGGCATTCTGGCTGTTCACAGGATCTCAGGATGAAAAACCCCCATCAACAAATTTTCCTTTTTGGTCTACATAGGACCATTGTCAGTGGGATGTTTTCTGTTGGTTGTTTTTAAATCTTAAGCAATGGAGTAAAAGAATATAACCAAAGTGTCTGATTTGAGGTTTTACAGGCAGAAATCTTTTTTTTCCTCAGATTTTTTTCCCTTAAAATAAAGGGGAAAAAAGTATGAGGTTTCAAAGCTGAGTTACTCTGACCATAGCTAGCCTTCAGGGAAGGGATGGCTAACCACACCATTTCCTCTTTGTTCTTCTGTGTGTTATCTCATAGCAAAGGTGTGCCTTTTTCATATTAGATATAAATTAATCAAAACGTCTAAAGCTCTGTATTTCCAGAGTTATGAAAAATTCTTAACTTACTTCAAGATATCTTGCATAAGTATCTCATCCCTCAGCTCAAACAAACAAGAAGATCAAAGGCAAGAAAGAATAACATAAATTGGAGCACCTCCTATAATCCATATACACACACGCTCGCTATACAGGTCCTACACAGTCAGAGTCATTTCAGCTAATATAGCCTCTAGTGTGGGTTTTGTTGGAACACAGCCCGCTGGGGTCCCCATCAGCATCATACTAAACAACAATACTTCTTCCACCAACACTTGGATAAGGTCTTCATCTTGTCGGGAGTCCTGCTCTTGGACTTCTTCTGCTGCTGCTGGGAGTCCGAGTACTGAATGCCGGCCACAATGGCTGCATCGAAGACCTCTTTGAGGTTCTTCTGAGTCAAGGCCGAGCACTCAATGTAGGAAGTGGCTTTGATCTCTTCGGCACACAACCTGGCCGCCTCCTCGGGTACCGGCTTCTCTTTGCATTTGTCCAGCTCGATGAGGACTTTGACGTCTTCTCTGAGGTCCGACTGTGTCCCCACAAGGATGATGGGGGCTTTGGGACAGTGGCACAGGATCTCCGGCACCCATTTCTCACTGACGTTCTGGAAGGAGGAGGGACCCACGACACTGAAGCACAGGAGGAAGATATCGGCGTTGGTGTAGCACAGAGGCCGGAGCTTGTCAAACTCATCCTGTCCTGCAGTGTCACAGAGCTGGAGTTTCACGGGCCGCCCATCCACGGAAACCACAGCCGAGAAGTTGTCGAAGGAGGTGGGAATGTACTCGGTGGGGTAGCCGTTGGTGGTGTAGCTCACCACCAAGCTGGTCTTGCCCACGGCGCCGTCGCCGACCTGCACGCACTTGACGCCGCGCCCCTCGGCACCGCCCGCGCGCCCCCGGCTGCCCGGCGCCCCGGGCCCACGGCCCCGCGCTCCCGGCGGGGCGGCACGGGCAGCGCCTCGCAGCGGCCCGGGAACGCGGGGTCCCCCTGCTGCGGGGGCATCGGCCCGCGCCCGCCGCCGGGGGAGCCGTCCCCGACTCGGGGGCCGCGGCTCCGGCCGCGCGGTGCAGACAAAGGCTGTCGGGTGGGTCCGGCCGGGCTCAGGCTCCGGTGGCGCCGGCCTCTTCCCTTGGTTCTTATCAGATATGCTCATCTCTGTTAGCAACTAGTAGCAAGACATCAAAAATAGTGTATTCCATTTACATACAGTGCTGCATCAAAACTGGAACAATTAAACAGTGATCCTAACACACTGTTATTCAGTTCAAGCAGCTTGAATTACAGAAATGATTGCTACATAGGTAAAACGATAGCCTGTAGAGATAAAGGTTTAAAGATAACTCTAACTTGCCCAGCACTGATAAAGAATTCTACCAAAATGAAGATAATTAAAATGGGTGGGAAAATCAAATACTAGAAGAATTTACTTATATCCTCTTGAATACTTACATACAAGTACTTACATAAAGTACTTTACATAAAGTACTTACATAAAGTACTTCGTGAATTTTTGTCTTTCAAGTTGCAAACTTGTTTTTGACTATCTTCCTAAACAGCTTTATTATGTTACACTACTTTCCATCAAACTCAGGAAAGAGAGAAATAACACAAATATAGCCTTCTTAATAACTTGCTAAAATATTCCATCTAGTTGACAATATTAACTTCACAGACAAGGGACCCCTGAGGCTGGACCGCACTGTACAGAAAAAGGAAAATGAAGTTCAGAGATGAAGACTGCTCTTCTGGTTTGCAGTCTCTGCTCTGTGCCCTACATTACATGCCATCTCCTATTTCTCAATTGAGTTACTAGTTCAAATAGATGGATTTTGTTAGTGCTAGTCTACTGCACTGTTGACTACAAAACAAACGTTTTGATTACGGAGCACAGTCGCTTGACAGTGCTGGGTTAGCTCCTTCTGCACACAGAGTGCATCAGCGGTACGGATGCACACCCCTTCTTTTGTGGATTTCCTCTCTTTTCACTTAAGTCACCACAGAGCCCTGAGCAGTGCTCTCAGTCACAGCAGGTCCTCATTAGCTGTCTATTTTATACATAATGTCCGTGGTGTATACACATCCGTCTCAATCTCCCAATTCACCCTACCCTAAGGGCTTCTCAGGTGGCTCAGTGATAAAGAATCTGCCTGCCAAGCAGGAGATGCCGGCGCAATCTCTGGGTCAGGAAGATCCCCTGGACAAGGAAATGGCAACCCACTCCAGTATTCCTGCCTGGGAAATCCCATGGACAAAGGAGCCTGGTGGACTACAGTGCACGGGGTTGCAGACAGTCAGATGGGACTTTCGCAAAGAGTCAGACAGGACTTAGCAACTAAACAGCAACAACAACACACTACGAACTGGTAGTCTGAACGAATTTAGTGTCCACTGCTCTAGACAATTCTTTTAAGACCCACGTTTCAATTTTTTGGTCTTTACTGCTAATACTCTAGCTCCTGAAGACTTAAAGCATATCTTCCTTCCCATTTCCCCTAACAAGTCCCACCTCCAAATAAAACCAAACAGAAGAAGACACAGCATGGATAGCTAAAATCTAAGAGCAATCTGTTTGCCAAATGTTTTTACTTACTCCCTAACAAAGACCTCTAAGCAAGGTTATTTAACAAGGAGAAAAGTGGTCCATTTTCCCTCCTCCCTTAGCTCTGGACAATTTTCTGGTGCTCATAAAAACAACAGGGGAAAAAGTTAGCCAGGAAAAAGTAGGGACAAGGATGCATAGATTCTGAACTGATTATATGCATTTAAGAAAATTAATTCCTGAATTAAAAATCAAAGGTAATTAAATTCAGACGACATTAACTGCTCTAGTTGGTTGTGTTGCTGTTTTGTTTGGCCTTCCATACACCATGTGGGATCTTAGTTCCTCTACCAGGGATTGAACTCAAGTCCCCTACAGCTGAAAAGAAAATCTCTGAGTTGGATATGTTGATAAAGCGAGTTTAAAATCTTGCATCTACCTGAAGCTGAATTTAATTACAACTCCCAACCACACAAAATGACAACTTGATGTTGAAAATTAGCAGCCATGCTCTTCTGAATTAAAGAAAAACTAAACAATGATATGTTTAGCTCTTCAACATTTTCATCTCATTCCATTAAGTTCAGCTTACATTTAATGAGTGTCTACTAGGTAGGCATTATCATCTACTAAACATTAACTCTCTAGCCATGCCTTTTTAATAGAGAACTTGGCCCACCTAGTCCCTGAAAGGGTCAGCCTTATGAAACTCATGATACCCTACAAGCCTGCCATATTCCCACCACAGGCAGGCACCTGACAGGGACGGGCCAATCTGATATTCTTTTCCAGGAACCCAGAATGAGAATCCTGGGAACCTGAGTCAGAAGATATGAAGTACCTGAACTACCAGATTAGGCAGTGTGTGAGCCAGAGGTATCACAGTGAGTCAAAACTGAAGACTTGGGGAAGGGAAGTAGGAGCAGAGGTCCTGAATGAGCAGAGAAAGGTGATCTGAAGAGGTGACTTACCAACAAAGCAGAGAAAGTGACCAGTCTACTCTAGGAGAAATGGGGGAGGGGACATGTATTACATTCCACATGCATTCGACCCGCTTGTATTTCATTTCTTATCTATCCTTGGATGTCTGATGCCTATAAAGTTGCCTACTGTGTCTTTTCAACAAAGACCTCCTTGACTGGAACAAGTATGAACAGTTTCTATTTCTTACAGGCAAAACACCTTACCATTATATTAGGTGCTACAGCAGATATAAAGATATAAAGATACCAAGTTCACTCAGCCCTCAAAGGCCATACATAGTTAGGAGCTGCTAAGTATACAAATAACCATAATATAAGGTAGATAATAGCATAAAAAGTACTATGAGGTTTCAAAAAGTGGGACACATCATATCCAACTCAGAACATCAAAAAGGTTTCATGGAGGAAAGGAAACTAAAATAATAATCATAATAGATGGTGCTTGGCATAGTTAAAAAATATATTTACTAAGAAAAATACAATGTTGGAGACAGTAGTCGAGTCAATAACAAAAAAATTAATTTTACTGGTCCAGGAAATACAAAAAGCTGGTTAACAACTGAGTCACAGAACTTGGCAACTGGTTATATGGATGAGAGCAAGCCAGGAGTTAAAAAAAAAAAGTTCAGTTTTCAGGGTAGGTGATTTTGAGAATGACAATGCCAGAACAGAAAGGTTCACAGGAGGTGGATTTGGGGAAGAGAAGTGAAGAGGGGAGGCAAGTTCTGTACTGGATATATTGACTTGAGGCAAGTGGCAGTGAGCCGTTCATTCATCACTGGGGAACTGCAGAAAGAGAAGACATCTCAAGCACAGAAAACGGTTTTCTCAAATTTCAAATAAAAAACCTTTAGAGAAAAGAGATAAAAGATTTTTCACAGTGTCTAGGTTTTTTCTTTTGCATTTTGAATGTCCCATTTTTGCCCAGCCACTGATTTTCCTGGTCCAAAGGATGACAGACTTTAAGGAGGTTAGGCAGTATCATAGAAGAACTTGATGAAAATGTGGTTCTTCTCTCCAGAAAACCCCATGTAACCACAAATTTTGCTAACAATTTTATAAAGTTCGTGGATCTTCTGAAGCTCTAAGGAGTACACACATCCCAGGTTTTTTGTTTTTTTTTAAAAAAGGCATGATGTGAAAGACCCTGTGGAAGAAGAGAGTGGGTTGGAAGAAAAAGAGGAAATATCTGCAGGGACTCATCCACTCCCTTTTCCTTTCCAAGCAACCAGAGCATGAAGCAGCACACCATGGGGGAGAGGCAGAGTGACGAGCACAGTGCTCGAGGTCTGAGGTTTTACCAACCATCTGTAAGAGAATAAACTACTTTTATCAGAGATAACTGCCCCCAAACTAAAAGATTTTCTGTAGTAGTCTAATAGACTAAAATGTTTAATATGCTAAAAATTATTTTTAACAAAACAGTTGCAGCAACGATTAAAAAGTTATAGGCCCCATCAAATCCAGAGGTACTAAGCACCGAACTCTAAGGTCATTCCTGTACTTACTACAGAATTAGGATACTCAGGCAAGATCACAATATTGTAACTGCTGAAAAGGATACCACACTTTCAGACTGCAGAAGTGATGAATGCAAATAAAAGACACAAAGAACAGTAAGTTCTTATAAGAAACAAACCAACCTACTTTTGCATGTGAATTTCTATTTTTTTATGCCAGTTTCTTTTGCCCAGGCATGAGATGCACATCATAAGAAATCAAAGAACTGTCTATGAATCTTACGCCAAATAAATGGCAAATATTATAAAGAATATCATCTTATGAGAGCTTAATAGCATATTTATCAAAGGACAGTCTGATTTTCAAATAACAAGCATATTCAGTCAGTAACATGCAGATACTTAAATGTAAATAAATTATAAAATATAGCATTTAAGTGAATTAGATGGTTCCAATACTCTGCATGCGACTTAATTTTTACCCTGCCACTACCAGCAAAATCCTAAAGAAGAAAGCATTAACTTCATTTTGTATAACAATGCTTTCTCAAGATCTGCTAACGGGAACTATCAAGAAATGGATAGAGGTAGCAGAGGAGCAGATCATTCAATAACTCACAAAACTAAAAGATAATGTTCAATTCATTTTACCACAAAAGAGTTGTATTAAAATTCTTTGAAGGTCTTTGAAAGGGGTTCATTAATATTTGAAAAATAATCAAATATCTGTCTGAAACACCCTTGAAAAAAGCAACTAAAATGGTAAGTTTTCCAATCACTGTAATAACAGAAGTCACCATTTAGTTAATATTTATTTGCTAAACAGTTTACATATATTATCTCATTTGAGCTTTGGAAATAACTATCACATCCTCACTTTATATATGAAAATAAGACTCCTATGGTTAAGTTACATGCTCTGGGTCTCACAGCTAGTAAATGGAGGTGGGAATTGAATTCAGTTTTATGTGACTCCAAAAGCAGTGCTCATATCCATTATATCAGTGATTCCCAACTTTGGTCACATCATGCTGCACGCTTAAAATTATAATACTTGTATAGATTACCAATGTAAACTGGAGGGACCTGGTGAAAATAACATACATTTTCTTTTTATTATAAAATTATGACATGAAAAATACAGTACAAAATGTTACAGATGATATTAAACACTAATTGGTATAAATCTTCCAAATCAAATATTTTCAATTGCCAAATTCAGAAAGTGTACTGGTGGAATCATACCAAAAATGTTCAAATATCATTCTAACTGCTGTGAAATTTGAAAAATTAGTTACAAAATGATTTAAAATCATAAAAATGATTTAAAATTTCAAAACCATAAAACATTTGCAAACAGCACACTGCAAGCCTTCCTATGCACTACACTCTGGTTAGGAAGCCCTGTATAACATAATTTTGTTTTTTTACAGAGTATTATGATTAGACACTAATATATCAAGAGCTTCTCAATAACACATCTAAAAGAAATTTAAATAAAAAGTAACGAAAGAATTACAATACTGCATTCCTTCTGAATTTCTATAGTAATTTTAATTGGTAACATTCATCTTGTTAAAATAATAACAATGACTGAAACTTCGACCAAGTTTCATAATTTTACAGACAGGAAGTAAAAATGACTTGCATGTATATCAAAGGAGGTATTCAACAGCAAAATTATTTGTATACCGTGATGAGTGCATTTTGTTTATAGAAATAGCAAGGAAGATAACTTTAATTTCATGTGTGTTATGTCATGACTCAAGCAAATGCATCTCTCTCTGCAACCTATTTGAATCTGTTCATTTAACTTGCTCAAGAATATAAAATAACTTACTTAAAACAAAGAAATTGATTAAAAAGTAAAAGCAAATGCTGTAGTACTTTGATTTTTACCTACTGCTTTTGAAATTTCCTAAGTGATCATGTGTTTAATTTTGTTTTTAATTAAATCCACTATTTATAAAGTGTATTACAACAGCCTAACAGCCTGAGGGGATCTCTGATTATGAATGTAAACCAAAATAATCACAGAAGATAAAAACACACCTTTACCTTCATAACCAACTGATCAATAGAAACAACGCTAATGCCTTGAGTACTGTAGTTTATATTAAACCTCTGAAAGGTCCCAAGGAGCTGTGTCCAACAGTAGCTGGCACAGGCTGGTTAACACTTCATACTTAAGTATCTACTATCAGGGACCATGCTCATTCACAAATGATACCTGTTGTATGGAAGAGTAGCAGTTTGGAACTTCAATATTTTTTTTCATACATTCTGTAAGATCAAGTATTCAAACTGAAGGCTCAAACTCCAGTGCATAACTTCCTCTCTTTATTCAAAAAGCTGTTACCAGGGCTTCTGCAATCTACAAATTGTCAAATATGTTAACATGAAAAGACTAGTATGGGCACCCTGAACACCCTAGACTACAAAATAAACCCTGGGTTATTTATGGTGGTGCATTCTGTCCTCTGGAGCTTCACACCATAAAAATTTGGCACTTCTCCTAAAGCAACTTCTTTTTCCCAAAAATCAATTGTTTTAAAAAGCAAAGTTCTATTGCTTACAGAAACCATTACTTCCACTTATTCTTCCCTAACAGATCCCTAGAAGATACTAACAGTGAAGAAAAAATGTGGCCTGATTTATTGGTAAGCTGACATCAGGGTATTTTATATGATTCACTGAGCTTCTAGAAAACAATCTCTCAAAAATTCTAAAACTAACCAGGTTGAGTAAAATGCATCTGACTGTATTTAAAACGAATGTCAAGTAAAATAAACAGTAATTCCTGAAGCCAGTATTTTTCGTTTGAAGAAACAAACAAAAAAGCCCAACTCAACAGAAGTTTGTCACTATCCCATCTTTTACAGTAAGTCCAATTCCATAATTTATCCTAAGATAACTGCATTCCCACTGCACATCATCCCCAGCAAATATTCATCAACTCCCACTGTGTAATTTATTGTCATCATCACATCCTATGCCACAAACCTCAAACAAGCCAGTCCTTAAATATCCTCAGCTCACACCAGCTCCCCCTTTATAAAAACAATGGAAGGAGTTATAAAAAAAAACAAACCTTAAGAAAATAAAAATAATCGGAAATAGTGGATAAGTACACACAGCCTCTACACTCAAACTCTTTTCCTTTACACCTGAGAACCTGTCGGTTATTTCAACCATACACCTTTATGTTCCTGGATAACCCAGGGTTCCTCCACCTCAGCGAGCGCGCAGTGTCCACTCTCTAATAAATGACAGGGTCCTACGTGACCACTCTGTCCCAGCCCCCCTCTCTATTTATATTAATTATTCAAGCCTCCCGGCTCTAATCTGTCACAAAGTATCACCACGCTCCAAACTCACAAGCCATTATACAAGCCCAACACACTCTCCCGTCCTCAATACCAACTCACTCTAACCCTTCCCTTGAAAAACTTTCTCTAACATCTGCTCTCCCTTTATGAGCTTTTCCCATATTCCTAACACAGTCTCAATGTCCTACTGGACCACATTTCGAAGCACCTTCGCTAAACAATCCCAGCATGGTGGCACACCCTCTTTCCAGGCTAATTCCTACAACCCCAAAACCCCACCCCCTCATCACGCCCTCCGGCATCAGCCACCAACCCCACACCCCGCCCCACGTCCGTCACGCCCTCCAGATTCTTCGGGGTCCTCTCCTCCCACCCGGACCAGCCCCCCATTAGGACTCTCAAGTGCCTGGGCCCTCCAAACCACCCCGCCAGCCCCGCCCCCAGCCCCTCACCGAGTAGCAGCAGCTTCACTTCTTTGGCCGCTTTCTCCCCGTCCTCCCGCAAATTGCGGTCGATCATCTTGCTTCGCTCCACCGCCGCCTTATCTTCGGCGCTCAATGTGCACCCCATGGCGGCGGCGGAAGACGGGACCGGGCCGGGGCTCACTCACAAACCGCGGAGACTGCGGCTTGGCAGGCGGAGACAGAGTCTACTGCTGGGCGGCGGCCCTCTCCGTCAGCTCCCAGAGCGCCCAGAGGAACCGGATATCCGGCGTTTTACGACACTTCCGGCAACGCCCGCGGCCGTTACTTCTTCGACCTCCCTAGCTGGGGTAAAGGAGGCGTGACCAAAAGCGGAAGTACGGAGAGAGAGAGAGAGCCGGACGCCGAGTGTCGGTTCCGCGATGTAGGGCGGCCCTATCGAGCTTACCGGGCGCCGCTCGACTTTAGACCCCTTTCACCTTTTTGGCTGTCTTATTTGGATGGCTGTAGAGATACCAGGGACTGGTTTCTCCGGTTCAAGGCACCCTCCCGAGGTCGCACGGCCGATTGGCGTGGGGAATGGGAATTCCCAAGTAAAAGCCCTCAACCCGCACGGGAATTTCTGCTGGGAATTTCTCACTGGCCAGAAAACCCATTTAAATTCTGGCAGAGGAGATCTGAGACCAAGTGTAGGATAGTTTGTCTGTTGGCGTCGTCCCAGCCAGAGTTATGGGATGAGAATTACAGAGTCTGGAATAAGTTAAGACCCACAATTCCTGGGACTTTGCAGTCCCTTTCTGCCCTCTCCTCTGGCTCACCTACTGGTACCCAGTTGGCTTGAGAGTTGCCCAGCTACTATGTCGGTAAAGGATCTCTTGAAATCGGTAACAGATCTTACATTACTTGAAAGGTAAGAATGTGGTTTTTCCATGAAATTTCCATGCTGCCTTTCCCCCACACAAGCCAGATTTAGCGCTGACATATTGTCGTGCGTTAAGGGCTTAGGACTTTCTACTAAGATTAGGCAACCAAAGTTCCACACCCTAAAACAAACCAGTGCATCCTGTGAATCTCCTTTTAAAATTTCCTTTTGTGGTAACACACGAAAAGAGAAGTCATAGTTAAATTTGTTTCTCAGCTATAGTATCACCTGGATGTTGATAAATCCGCTATGAAAGCCCCACACTGATAAGTCTTTTTACTCATAATCCTGGATTCTATGGTGAAAATAGCCCTACATTACTGTTACTTCCAAAGAGCCCCACAAAAACATTCACCGTACATTCTAGGGAGGGGAACTCTTGTAGCCCTCAGGATCTTTCCCTATGATTAAATATTATTTCCCCAATCGAACCTAGACCTTAGAATATAAGATCCCAGCAGAAAGATATATACAGTGACTGATAATCATTAGAGGGATTTCTTGAAAACCACATTAAATAGCCTCATGCACCTTAATTTATCAATGCCAGTTCTTCAAAGTTCCAAATCTCCTACTCTTCCTAGTGACTTAGAATATAGGGGGATGCTCTGCCATAATCAATATTTATGGGGGGAAAGGGCAAGAAGAAGGGGAGAAAAAACAATATTGAGTACCTATTTGCCAGGTATGGCTAGGTACTTCGATTTGTCATCTCATTTATTCTTCACAACAACCCTGTGACTGTGGGTTGTTATCCACATTTTTACAGATAAACAAATAGGCCCAGAGAAATTAAGCATCTTTCCAAGTTCACACAGTAAGAACTGACTCCAAATTCACTCCTTTTCTACCATGCTATTATAAGATGTTACCTGGGAGTCCTGATAACAGCTTTTCATCTAGGATTGAGAGTTACTCCAACAACACTGGGGTGAGGGAAAAAATAACTTGAGAGCACAATTTTCTCAACCTGTTGATTTCTTCAGTGGATTTATAAGTCAAATTTTGCCTAGGAATTGCTTTCACAAGCTTAAGAATTACATATGGAACTTTACCAAGTGATCCTGGTGATTAAAATACTCCTGGAAGGTGGTCATGACAGAAATTGTTGGGAAAATTCTCAGCATAATAGAAGAGAAAATTTTATTTCCTTCATGATCAACTCAGGGAAAAATAAATGCAAATAAACCATGTGTCAATAAAGCATATGTCAAATTCTGTAATAAATGCCAGGGAGGTCACAGTGTCAAGAAATTTCAGCCTAAATTAGCAATATCCTTGCACTCAAGATTTTCTCCTTTGGAATATGGTAAAGGAAGGGCTGGAGGGCAAAGTCAAAGGAAAAGGCAAAATAAATTAACAAAATGGCTGCCAGGGAATGCTCCCCCTCCCCACCTACGCGCCTCTTTCCTATTTCCACTAGACTCACACTGCCACCTGCTGGCAACGCTCAGTCTATTAGTTCATCTGTGATGTTTGGATGTTTTCCCCTATCTAGAAATGCGATTCCTCATAAATTTATCTTAAAAGGGAGGAGAGAGTGGAGGAGAACATGCCCTCAATCGCAAAAGACTCTCTTCGAAATATAAATTATCTGAAGGAGCTCCTCAGTGCAATAAGGCCTTGTGCTAAAATAAGTCTAGCAGTAGGAAGACGGAAACCTGGAAAATTTCCTAGATCTGAAGAGAAAAAGCTGCCCTATTTCATTTAATAAATCATTTTCTTCAACTAGAGTTTCATCTGCAACCCCCACACTTTCCAGTCTGCAGGAAGCCTCCATGTAGACATCTTGCTGCAATGGGCTGAACTCAAGTTAGAACCATGAACATATTTTTCAATATATTTCTCTAAAATTCTATAATGCTTTACTATATGTGAATGCTCTGTCAAAATATAAAACAAGGTACCTGATCAAATTAAGACTGTGCACTCCTTGAAGGCAGTGACTATAAATCTGTGTGAGTCCCAGAGAATGGGGTATTCAGCTCTTATGCACTGGGTTGAACTGAAGGAGTCAATGTTGATATCAGCATAACATTTTTATAATAAAAATTATTTATTAGCTGTTCAAAGGGGAAGCTAGCCTATTCCCACCAACCCGTCTTCCCCATTGAAGCTCAATAAACCAGGAATTTGTTCAAATACAGATCACATCACCGTCTGGTCCTGCCTTGACTCTTTAATGTTACCTGATTGGAATGAGGGAAATGGATGAACAGGCAGTCCCAGATGGGTGTCCTGTCCAGTTTTGCAGCTGTTCGCCCTCCCTTGAATATACCGCCATCAGTACCACCTAACAGTTCCTACAGTTTCAATCAGCTGAGCCCAGTTCCTGCACCCCCTGTCCAACCCAGGGCTGCAGATAAGAGAGAGATTTAAGTCTTTGTCACTGAAGCTAATTTTGAGAGCGATGGATGGGAGTAGGGAAGCATTTAATGAACCATGGAAACCCCACCTTTCCCATTCCCAACCTTAGTCTCTTGTACCCGGTTGTCCAGGGGGCTGGCGATGGGTCACTGCCATGAGGAGAGAGATCAGGGAGGCCAGTTCTGGAAAATAAAGATTTAGAGTATTATTGGTCAGGGTTAGTATGGGCCTCTCTGCATCCAGCCACCTTAGCAATTCAAATGCTAACCCCCACCTTCAGCAATCCAACCCCCAGTCCTTCCATTTCATCCTAAAAGACAAGGAGAAAGAGCCATCCTGTTTTAATCTTGCCTGTGCTAAGATCAAGTCCCAAAATTGATCTCTCACATCTAAGAGAGAGAAAAAATACAACAGAACAGCTATTCCTGAAAGGTGGGAGAGAGCTGCAGTCAACTTTCTTCTACCCTATAGGCCCTGATTACTATTTCTGCTTGCTCTGACCAAACTCAAGAAAGGAATAAAGCTGGTCCTCTCACTTCAAGGAAACCTCAGGTTTAAAACTAGAAAAAAAATATGTTAAATGGAAACACTTGGCTGCAATTTTGTCCTGTTTTTTTAAGCCTAGCAAGGAAATGAGAAGTCAGGGGTCATTTTCTTACCTTGCCTGGGTGCAGTTTCTACCATGGACTATTTTACTGAAAAATGAAAGCTCCTAAAGGGTCCTCAGAATAACTCCACACCTGGCCTGCTGCCCTATATCCTCCAACTCCTGCCCTTAGAATTTCCCTGCTTCCTGAAGCATGGAAAGCTCACTGGTTGAAAAGCATCATCATCATCATCTCACCTTCGTGACCCTTGACTCTCGTCACCATCTCACCAGGTTCCCTCCCCCAGTAGTCAAGGATCATAGCCATGTCCAAGGCTTTTGCCACATATCCATCCAGTTGACTCTGTTGCTGATGCAGAAACATTAAGCAAAAGCTGTGTGCAGAGACCCCAGCCCCAGCTAGCCAGAAAAAGGTGATCCCACAAGGAGTTCCTTGCAGTTATAACTGGCCCCCAGCCCCATCACCCTCCAAGTGTCCACCAGCCCATCATGACTCCAGTCGTGGTGTGGGGGCAGGACGGAGGTAGTTGTCCGACATGATGATATCGCTGGTGAGTTGTTGCTCCAAGAACTCAGAGGTCTCCTCAGCTATCTGGCCAGGGATTCGAAAGTCAACTGCAGGTGGTTCCTGCTTGGGGCTGGGTACAGGTCGGGAAGCCCAGGACTCTGTGGGACAGCCAGTGCTCTGAAGAAACTGCAGGAAGTTCTCCTCAATGGAGCCCTCCCGGCTTGGCAGCCTCAGCTCCTCCTCTGGAGCCTGTTTGAAGAAGCAGACAAACTGCTTGCTGAGCTCCCCCCGGATCTGCCGATTAAGACATCCGTAGAAGAAAGGGTTGGAAGTGAAGCAGAAGTAGCCAATCCAGGTCACCACATTCTCCACCTGTCCCGTCGAAACAGGCTGAGCACTCAGGGCGACATAGAGGTGAAAAGAAAAGTAGGGCAACCAGCAGAGCAGGAACTGTCCCCCCACAGCCAGGAGAACCACTGCTGCCTTCCCTCCCCCAAACGTCCGGTGTGGCGTGGTCTGGGGGGCCCCCGAACTGGTGACCATCGTGGAGCGGCTGCTGAGAGACTCAGAGCGTTGCCGGGGGGTCTCCATCCACGTGGGCAGCGGTCCGTGCTGCATGGCAGCCACACGGGCTACTCGGAACATGCTGCAGTAGACCACTAGGATGAGGAGCAAGGGCAACAGGAAATAAAGGACAGCAAAGACCACCACAAAAAGCTGGCAGTAGGCACTGTGGCTCCATTGGAGTGAGCAGCCTAGGGGGATGCTGGGAGCTCCCTCCTCCCGCGAGACCCTTCCCAACACTGGCACAGAAGCCATGGCCAAGGCCTTCACCCACACACCCACCAGAACAGAGGCCACCAGCCCCAGCGTCATGCGCACCTCATAACGCATGGGGTGGACCACGTAATAGTAGCGCTCCACGTTGATGGCCGACACCGAGAGAATGGCCAGGCTAACAAAGCATATGCTCAGGAACAAGTAGAGGCGGCAGGCGACCTCCCCAAAGAGGTCATGGTCAAAGAGGGCGGAGCTGGAGAGCATGGCCAGGGGCATGAGGGTCAAGGCGGCCAGCAGGTCCACCAGGCAGAGGTGGAAGACAAAGACAAATTTTCGAAGGGCAGGTGTCTTGGCAATAACAGCCATCACAGCAGCATTGCCAGCCACAGCTGTCAAGTCCAGCAGGAGCATGAAGAAGAGGGCCACGGATTCTGAAGCCACGTCCCGCAGCCCTGCCTCCGGGACCCCACTGGCAGTAGAGGGACCTGGGGTTTGAGGGGCCCTCCCCAGCGTGGAAGAGTTCCCTGACGACTGGGGGATGGGTGAGGACTCCATGGGGCCGAAAGAGGACACCCAGGGCACCTCCTGTCACAGGCCCATCCCCCATCCTAGTCCAGTGCCCCTGGGATGGCAAGCCCAGGCCCAGGCTTCCCAATTTTGTGTGTGCAGATCTGGGGGAGAGAGCGCCTCCTGCTGGAGCCTCTCAGCAGGCTCCTGTTGCCAGCCTTCAAGGCCAGTGACTGAGGCTCAGGAGGCAGCTCCGGTCCACCTTGGTGACTGCAAAGAAGCAAGAGAGGGAGCGATGCAGGAGCCTCACCCACTCAACACTCCATCTTCTGAGTGGTCTCCAGCTCCTTTTCCACTTCCTTTTCCTCTCTTTTCCACACCCTTCTCCCCTTTCAAGGACTGTTGTCCCGAGTCCAAATCCTCTGTCTCCCTTTCTCAGGGTCCCGCTGAGCTCTGGGATCGTGCCCCAGTTTTAAGGTTGCTTATGTAAATTTCCTGATTTCTTGTCTCCTCAGAATGGCAGGAATCGTTGCGGATAACAAGCACGAGATCCGGTTTCCAGTCCCAGGTCTGGGAATTACTACCTCGGTGGCTCTTCTCAGCTTCGGTTTCCTCATAAAGCCATCTGTAAAATGAAAGGAATAATACCTACTTCACAACTGTGTTTGGAAGATGCTGCAGGATTTATTAATAAAATCCTAATAAGCAGTAATGTATGTATGGTGCTTTCCACATGCCAGGCCCTTTTCTCAGCATTCCACATATATTAACTCATTTTAATCCTTATGTAACCCTATGAGGTAGATATCCTTTCCCTCTTTTGCACTTGATAAAACTGGGACCTACCGGAGATAACGGAACTTACCGAAGGTCACATAGCTCGTAAGTGGCCAGGTCCAGTTACACACCCAGGAGGCCTGGCTCCAGGGCTAGTACTCAGCCCCCCGTGCCATGCTTCGCCTGAAGGTGCCCTCCACAGTGGCTGAAACACAACAGACATTCAGTAAATAGTTGTTGAATTTGAAACATCTCTAAAAATGTCTCTCGGGCTTCTCTGGTGGCTCAGTGGTAATTCCACCTGCCAGTGCAGGAGACACGGGTTCCATCCCTGGACCAGGAAGATCCTGTATGCCACAGAGCAACCACTGCAACTACTGAAGCCTGCACACCTTACAGCCCATGCTCCACAATGAGAGAAACTACCCACGATGAGAAGCCAGCGCACCACAATGATGAGTAGCCCCTGCTCGCTGCAACTAGAGAAAAAGCCACACAGCAACAAAGACGCAATACAGCCAAAAATAAAAACTAAGTAATTAATTAAAAATAAAAAACTGTCTCCCACTGAACTGGGGCTACCACTGGGAAGAGATCACCTGAAAAGGGGAAAGATTGTGCTTCAGTTTGCTCTAACATCACCACCCCCAAGCCAAAGAGCTGCCACTTTAGGAGTGTTGAGAAGGACCAGTGAAAACAAAACATCCCACTGGCAGGAAACTGGGAAGTCAATTCATCCAGCCTCTATTGCTCCCAAAGCCAGAAGGGCATAAGTCACATGAAAGCTGCCTATCGCTACCCACTCATTAACTTACCAAGGTCACTGTGCCCCCAGAGGTCAGAGAGGAGCTGCTCCTAACCTCCCACTCTCCAGGGCCCTGGATCTTGGGTCATTGCAGCTGACCATGGAGGGACCTCTGGCCAAAACCCTCCTGTTCCTGGACTGTTACCATAGACCCAGAACAAGAAGGGGGAGTAGGCATCTGTATAAAAGGTATGGGGAGTGAAGGTGGGTGAGCATAAAGCAGAGAGGTAAACCAGAAGAATCTGGCAAAGGAAGAAGTCTCCGGGCTCAGCGTCTCTCATTTCTCTGATAAAATCTGTTTTATGTGTCTCATTATCCATGCTGAGTTCGCACAGAATTGAAATAAGTTGCCCAATGTACAGTTGACCCTTGAACAACATGAGTCTGAATTGCAGGAGTCTACTTGCACGCAGATTTTTTTTTCAATAATAAATACTACAGTAGTACAGGACCCCATCAGCAGTGTGGGATGCGGAGCTGCAAGGCGGAAGGCCGACTATAGTTTATACCGGGATTTTTCACTGCTCCAAGGGGCAGCACTGCTAACCCTCACATTGTTCAAGAGTCAGCTGTAATTTTAATTTTTTTGATTTCCATATGCCATTCTTGCAGTCCAGAGTTCCTCAGCATAGTGTACTAAGGTATAAAAATTAGAGGCAAACTGTGGCCATGCCAAGTCTAATGGGCTTTTTGCAGACAAGTCTGAAGTTTCCTGGGTCACTCTCCTCATGTGTTAAATGGGAGGGTTGGACTGGAAAAACTTCAAGCTTTCCATATGTGATAACACTGGATGGCTCAGTGAGTTCCTGGGCTACGGAAGGCCTGGTGGCTGCTCAATTAAGACTCCATCATTTCTCTGACTGAAGTAAAGAGGCCCACATGGGGCAGATAGGTCCCTTGCCCCTCTATAGCTCCAGCCTTACAGTCACCCTTGGTTTTTGGCATTACCATCAGCCTTGCACTGATTTAACTTCTAGCATGCCAAGCATGCAGTATGTGCTCAGTACAACTTTGTGACCTGAATCAAACTCCGATTGATCAGTTGAATCCTTTCCTCCAGGATATATTCCAGGAACACTCAGTTGTGTGCCAGCCAGGATCCTCTCTTCTGAAATGAGTAACTTGGGCTCCTGGACTTGAGGGAGTCCTAACTTTGAACTAACTACCCAGAGATGTGCCTCTCCCAGGGGATAAGGAGAGGTGTGACAGCTCATATCACATTGTCTCGAAGTCTGTGGAGAGGGTGAAAGAGAGGGCTCAGGGTAGAGACGCTTATCATAAGACAACCTTCCAGAAAAAAATGTGGGGAGAAACACCAGGAGAGGCAAACTTGCCCTTTTCTTTCTATGCCATGACTCCCCCATCCCTTCTACCTGGGAGTGGGGCCCAGAAGACATGACTCTGGGGCCCTGGGAGCTAAAGGAGTCAAGGCCCACCACTTCTGCCCAGACATCAAGAGTCTGCCAGCAGGGCCTACCCAGGGTCCCAGACTGCGGGAAGCAGATGTGTATTCCACGTGGAGATGGAGAGGTGCTGTGCAGCCATAATGGAGCCCTAGGCAAGAAGGCTTGAACATTCCTCTTTTTCGCAGTCCCTCTGAGCCTTGCCTGTATCTCCGCACTGCTCCCTAAATTCCAGCATTCCCATTTACCTTCTAAAGAAAAGCCAGTATACCCGCTCCCCAGCACTTCCTCACTGATGGACCAGGGTAAAGGCTGGGAGGGACATGGGGTAACAGTTTCACAGTGGAAGCCCAGGGAGCCTCGCTCCACTCCTCGCTCGATTATCGTGGCTTCTCGGATGCTCTTATCCTCTCCCTGTTCCCTTCTAGCAACACTTCCCTCACCCCCAGAACATCTCAATACCTGGAAGGCTTTGCCATCCTAGAGGTTGAAGTCTGGGCCTCTAGCAGGGGTACGGTCAAGTTACAAATAGCCTTGTCTCAGGAGGCAAGATGTACATAAGTGCCCAGCCCAAGGCCACAGAGGTGTTGGGATTCACATGCACCTGTTTCTTAGTTACAGAGCTTCCATCCCGAGGACCCGAGCCTGGCCTTCCTTCAGACAAGAGCAAACCCCCACCTAAGCCAGGAGAGATTTCCAGGGGGCTATGGCACCTCCCCCCAGCAGAGTTGCCCACGCCTAGGACACAGAGTTGCCCGTCAGCCTGGATGCCAAAGGACCTATTCCTAAGATGTAGGGGACCCATTTCTATGACATGGAGCAAGATAGATGGGGAACCCTGTCTGTCTGCAGGATGTGGATACTCCTACTGGAGATCAACCCCCATCTCTAGACTTCAGAGATGCCCACACCCCAATATTTCCTTCAGGAAACCCGGGGGCCCATCCCTGGACAAAACTGCCCACCATAAGGGAGGGTGGGCTGTACCCTTCTGTGGGGTACCTCAGCACTCATCACCAGGCCTGGGTCTGGCCCCCATTTCTGGCCTAGTCGGCAACTCCTACCTTTGCTGAGCAGCTCCCGGCTCCCATGTGATAGCGCCTCTCAGCTGATGCTTCTCCAAGGCTGCTGAAGCCTGAACCACTGCAGTGATCAGTGAGAGGCAGCCGGCAGAGCAGGATGCTCTGAGAGCTTCTGGGTCCTAATGGCCTCCTGCTTCCCACCCAGACCCTTGGAGCCACTTCTGGAGCCAGGAACCAGGGACCAGTGCCCCCAGGCAAGGTACCCAAGAGTGGGCCCAGCCCCTCCCACTCCTCTCAGGCCACTGGAGTGGTAGCTCAAGAGCCTGGTGAGGCCAGGTGATGGCAGGCTGGGGAGACCCTCCTGGCTAACCTGATGACATAAAAAGAGCACTCAGGGTCAGAAGATCCAGGTTTAAGGCCTGATTCTGGCAATTCCTAACTGTGTGACCTTAGGAAAGTCACTTGTCATTTCTGGACTTGGTTTCTTATTTGTTCAAAGGGAGTGAAAGTGAAAGTGTTTGTTACTCAGGTGTGTCTGACTTTTTGTGGCCCCACGGACTGGAGCCAGCCAGGCTCCTCTGTCATGGAATTCTCCAGGCAAGAATACTGGAGTAGGTTTTGCCATTTCCTACTCCAGAGGATCTTCCCCACCCAGGGATCGAACCTGGGTCTCCTGCATTGCGGGCAGGCTCTTTACCGTCTAAGGCACCAGGGAAGCCCTCAAAGGGAATTGAAGAGAGATGATCCCTGAGGTTTCTGACAGCTGTGCCATTGCCTGGTTCTGTGACTTCAGAACCAAGGCACTTCTGTAGTAGGCCAATCAGTGCAGACACAGGGCCCCAGGGGCAGGTCTGAAAGGCGCTGTGGCTCAAGAACATGGCCCAAACTTGGGCTCCTTTGGAAGCTGCTTCCTGTATAGAGAGAACAGGTTTGGAGGAGAGCTAAGGGCTTTGTCCTCATCCTGCACTTGCCCCTCAAAAAGTGCTTTATTATTGTCTTCTTGGATAGTATGTTTTTCTGGTATGGGGCTGTGAGAGCTTGTGTAGATGGGAGAATTGAACACCCTCATAAGCCACCCTGTGGCACCAGCACAGCACTGCTTCCTCAAGGCAGGGTGGGAGGCAGGCACCTGGGGAGGCTCTGATTGTTCCGGATCTATGGGGCTGAACAGAGCTGGGAAACATCATTGGCAGAAGGGCGAAGAACAAGTGATGAGCCTTTGGAAGTGAGATGAAGGGGCATGACTTCCCACCAACTATGAAGAAAACAGCTCCCTCAGGATTGGGGCTGACACCCAAGGACAGGATCCTAAGACTGTAGAGTTGTAAGACATCCTATAGGCCAAGGCATCTGTGCTTCTGAGGCCCAGAGAGGTGAAGAGATTGCCCAGAGTCAAGTATGGCAGAGCCGTGAGCCCAGACAAGGAATTCAGTCATGATATCTGCTCCAGAGCCCTCTTCCCTGAGACTCACCTGTATGGGAACTCCTTCTGTCTCAAAAATGGAAGAAAGGGAATTATGGAACTGTTTACCAGACCCCAGTCAAGGAGTCATAAGAACAATGAATTACCCAGGGAACACAAAGAGGGCAAGGTGGCTTTCCCAGGCCCTGGGTCAACAACAAAGAGTCCAGCGACCAGCCCAGACCCACACTGTGATCTCCACTGCTCCCATCTGCCCTTTCTTGAGCTCTTATGAGTGCCAGC